CCCACCCTCTCGGAGTGGTCCCCGTCAAAAAGTATTGCCCACCCTTGCTCTACAACGTGAGCTACAAGCCAGCTGGCTCCCGTCTCTCTGTCTGTAAGTGGCCTTGCTGCCGCTCCACGGGCCAGTGCCCCACCCCCAGCAGGCACGTGGGTTACACCAGCACCGGGGGACACTTGAGCCCAAGTCACAAGAACAAATTCCTCCCGTTATACCCGAGTGCCACGGAACGTTCTAAAGCAAACCCAGGAGCTTGATTTTAAAGACTCGGCCAACTAACCGACCAAAACCTGCAGCTTGACCCTCTAGTGAGGAGCATTAATCAAACCCCAAAGCTTGAACGATCTCTCTCTTTTCCAACCTCTGCTTCTCCAGTAGTAGAATATTGCAGTGAGAAATCCAGGCACGTCATAGAATCCTAGAGCACGAGAACTGGAAGGGACCTCGAGAGGTCGTTGAGTCCAGTCCCCTGCCCTCACGGCAGGACCCAGTATCATCTAGAGCATCCCTGACAGGTGTCTGTCCAACCTGCTCTTAACTATCTCCCGAGATGGAGATTCCACAACCTCCCTAGGCAATTTATTCCAGTGTTTCACCACCCTGACAGGCAGGAAGTTTTCCCTAATGTCAGGACTGGCCTTACCATGAGGCGAACTGAGGCGGCCGCCTCAGGTGAGAGACTGTGGAAAGGCACCACTAGGACCCAGAGTGTAGAAAATTATGTCTGCTGCTCCTGCATATGTATTCTCTCCTTCACTGGGGTAGGCAGCAGAGCAGGACCATGAGAGGAGTAGAACAGGAAGGAGGCAGAATTGAGACTTTTCAAAGCTTTGGCCCAAGCGAGGGGGCACGGGGGCGTCATTTGAACTCCCAATCTCAGGTGCCAAAATATAGTGGGCCTAATGTCCAACCTAACCCCCCCTTGCTGCAGTTTAAGCCCATTGCTTCTTGTTCTATCCTCAGAGGCCAAGGGGAACAATGTTTAACCCTCCTCCTTATGACACCCTTTTAGATACTTGAAAACTGCTCTCATGTCCCCTCTCAGTCTTCTTTTCCAAAGCCCAATTCTTTCAGTCCTCCCTCATCGCTCATGTTCTCTAGACCTTTCATCGTTCTTGTTGCTCTTCTCTGGACCCTCTCCAATTTCTCCACAGCTTTCCTGAAATGTGGTGCCCAGAACTGGACACAATCCTCCAACTGAGGCCTAACCAGCGCAGAGTAGAGCGGAAGAATGACTTCTCATGTCTTGCTCACAACACTCCTGTTAAATCCCATAATGCAACATGTAAAGTACAGACTACACGGCCCAGAGTCACGGAGGCTACAAAGACATCTATGAAAACTCGTGTAGGAATCTTCATGGAATTTTTGCTGTGTGCACCTGAGAATTCACCCAAACCCACATGAAAACAGCTTCACTAGAGACAGCACAAGTGCAGGACTAAACACACACACAGTCTCCAGAAGCTGTGTTTTTCCATCCACCACTACTAGTGCCTGCAATGAATGCCTGATGGGGCCTTTTCAAAGCAGGGGTTTTTACGTTATCCAATTCCTTGATAGACACTGCTTCCCACAAAAGACTCTACGCTGTTGCAGTTTGGGGACATTTTCCATGCTCACTTTCATTCCTCTTCCTCTTCTTTCACAAGAGCAACAGACAGCAAACACAGCTCGTGGGCATTCTCTTACCTGTATAATAAAAGCTGAACCTCTCTAGTCTCGTCTGGCTAGGGTGTTCGTTCACTGGGGGTTCACTTACGTTTGTGGCCAAGTTTCCTGCGGTCCCACAAAGTTTGTTTACAGCCCCCAGTCCCGGCTCTCAGTGTTCTGTGCTGTTATTTAGCTCTAATTTACCCTGCAACGTCTTCTAACAGCCCAGTAAGCAGTGGAAGTGTTGGTGATGCTGCTAGACAATATTGACCTCCTGTCATCCAGAAAATTCTCTGGTTCGGCCCCGGTCAGGTCCCCAGGGTGCCGGACTACAGAGGTTCAATCTGTCGTAGTCCCCCAGTGCAAGGCGGCGTACAAATACACAGTGAGAGACGCCACCTGCCCGGAAAGGCTTGCAATTTAAGGCCCAGTTTTTGCCCTGTCTGGGGAAGGACGGCACGGCTGTCCCAGCCTGAGCAGGCAGACGGAACAGGCAGAAAGTGCTGGAACTCACAGCCGGGGCCGACAGGACTCCCCCCTCACCAACCTACCTGAACAACGTCAATGCAAGCATCCAAGAAGATGCAGCCTTTGGATTCTTTTGAAATTTTCTCGTCTTTGTAGGAATTCAGAATGTAGGAACCGTCCGGGAGTTGCGTGAGGTAAAAATACCGTCGCTTGAAGACCTGCAAGAGCAGAAGGCTGGCTGCGTACAAAGGTCGCTCTGCATCATACGCCGCTTCGGCATTGCACTTCTCCGTCACTGCACGAAACCGGGCGCCCCCTTAGTGCCACACGCTTCCCGAGGTGGATTAAAAACGCTCCCCCTCGGGTGTTGGAAGGAAGGAAGGCGGGAAGCACGTGCCACAAGTCAGCATGCCCACAGCCCCCCAGCGCTCCTGTGCCCCACACGCTAAGTGCCGGACGAGCTCCCGAGACCCTCCGCCCGCCCCTTGGCAGTTTGAGACCCCCAGGTGGCAGCTCCAACCCCCCAGCAGGGACAGAGTCCACAAGTGATGCTGTCCCCCCCGCACTGGCAAACGGAGGCATTTCCCCCCGCCCGGATCAGGGCGGCAGGGACCTGGGGCGTTCGCCTTCCCTCTGCAGCACAGGGCCTGGGTGGCCTGCAGATTTCAAGTCGTGCAAGCGGCGGGCTGTCTGGAACGTGAAGTCTGGAGGCCGGTCACTCAGCCGGAGGCTACGGGGCAGTCACTGGGCGGGGGAGGGGCGG